ATGCCCGCTCCCTTCTGTCTCTGCCTTCTGTCTTATCTCTACTTTGAAGGCAGAATGAAAATGCCTCCTTGTTCCTAGGTTTACCTGTCTTGATCTTACGACTTCCCGCTTCAGCTTCCCAAAGGCTGAGTGTGCGCCAACCCTCCCAGTTCTGGGGTTTGTACCACTCTTCAGGAAGTTTCTTCTAGCTTTCTCCATCACTAACCCCATCTTCACACTGTGCCACCACCCTCGACAATGGCCTGATCTGGATGATGCAAGGCACAGAGTAACAGTCTCATTTTTTTTCTTCTAGTATGTAAAATGTTTCCAGAATTCCAGAAAGTATGTTTAGACCCCTGAAAGCTTGGTTATGGCACCTCACCACAATGGATCATCATCATTATGGATGATGCATTTTGAGGTTGCTAAATATTTGATCAATTGAGAAGCAATTCGCTCCAGTGTGTTTGCAGTATCAGCCAGGAGAATTCTTACATCCTTCACTAATAAGCACTCCTTTGGCAGAGAGGATACATTAAAACTTCATCATGTTGTTACAGTTTGTCTAGATAGCATATAGCATTACAAAAATTGCTCCTCTACAGTTGATTTGATGTTTTATTATCCTTTGAAAAAAATATTTCAGAACTCAGATTCAGTTAACTAATGGTACTCTTTTAAGTTTGCCAAACTATGCATGCATTTAAGGGGTTCCTTTTATCATAAAGATGATAATAGAATTTTCCTACATGAGATTTTTATCTTTTTAATGTTCATATATATGTATTTAAATCTAAAATTTTATTCATAGTGATTTTAAGTGCTTATCATCACACACACACTGAGGTTAGGAGGGAAGTCAATTCAAAACAAGGACGAACAAGCAAAGCGTTAATTATAAAAGCATGTATATTAGACATAAACAGACTGTGACCACAGCAACGGGGACAAAGGTGGTAATTCACTGGATTATAGTGCAGTTACCTGTAATGTGGGTGTCTAATTTTCTAAGAATAGAAAACCTCTCCCTGGTATGAAGCTCTAGTGCAAACCCCCTGCCTGCGCTCTTTTTCTGGGAGGCACCATGCACGCTACTGGACACTGCAGAAGCATTTGGTATTCCTTATAACAATCTTTTAAATACAAATGAGACCACGGGACTGAGTGGCCGTGATCTTGCCAAGCTGATCCAGGCTGGCCACCCCTGGAGATCCAGGCTGGCCACCCCTGGAGCCTGTGTAGCTGTGGGACTCCCCCTTAACACAAGTATAACTTAGTGATTTGTAGAAGAGTATTTTCCTTATTTTTTAAAATCACTTTCTCCGTTTAATGGGAAGTAAGCAAACATAATTGAATAGCCTGCTAAGGTCTTTGAACACTAAATTCCTGTGTTGATTAATGGTGCATTCGCTATGGGAAGGGTACAGAGAGGTTAGGGTTAACACACAGACATGAGAGTAGAGAGTTCAGACCCGTGTTCTCAACTAGGAGAGTGTTTTCCATACTAGATAGTACCGTTTCGTACAAGCTGCATCCTAATGTGAAAATTTTAGCCGCTTTCTAAGGGTTCTTTATTAGCCGGCCTGCTTACCTGAAGCACTGTCCACACTGGTTCAGAACCTCAGATGATTCTGCCAGTCTCCTAAAGAAAGGATACTTGGTTGACCTTTCCTTTGGGGAAAAAAATGTTACTGGTCAATTATATGATTTCCTGAATGTATCTGTTAGAGTTTTATTATAATAAAAGTAGTGGTAGTGTATTATTTCCATAATTTTGAGTCTTGTACCTGAGTAGCTGTTGAAATTTCCGTTCTAAAGGGGTGAGGGAGTCCACAGTGTTTGACTAATAACACACCAACTACAGATACAGCGTGCTACCTTCCGTAATCTGATGATGTGCTAACTCCTGTGTGCGCTACTTTATCTAACATCCACACAATGCATAGTGTAGCCTCTATAGGCCTGTTTACGAAGGAGAAAACTGAAGCTCAGGCAGTCTAGGCTCCCGTGATTGACAGGCAGCACAGAGCTTTGCAGGTTTTGACCCCTGCACACTGGTACCTGGGGCGGAAATCCAAGTCTGCATGCATCAGTACGTGTGCTAACTATATTCTTTTTTTTCTACAATGTTTGATCAAAAGTAACTGCTGAGTCTTGGTACTTAAGATCTGCCTTAGTTTATGGTTGTATAACAAGCCATTTTCCTTTTTTAAATACACATTTTTCACAAAGAACAAAAACTAAAACAGCTCATATTTCTATAGCAAGAAAAAAATGTACCATGATTCCTATATTTAGGTTTGGGTTTTTTGTTTGTTTGGTTTTTCAAGACATGGTTTCCTGTGTAACTTTGGAGCCTGTCCTGGAACTCACTCTGTAGACCAGGCTGGCCTCAAAGTCACAGAGATCTACCTGTCTCTGCCTCCGTGTGCTGGGATTAAAGGTGTGTGCCTCCGCTGCCTGGCAGACGTTTATCTGCTAATGAATTTTGAAAATGTTCTTAAGTAAGAAGAGCAGAATCATCTCCTAGTCATTACTGAAACCTGAAGGGGTTAATTTAATGGCTGTATAGCTCCCACACTTGTCCATGTTGCTGACATTAAAAACTATTCAAGATGATAAAATTCAACTCAGGGTTTATTGAGGTGACTATACTAGATGTTAGCCATTAGCCACATGTGATTATTTTTAAAACTTAACTAAAATTTAAGAATTTGAATTTGGTTCCTCAAGCTGGGCAGTGGTGGCGCACGCCTTTAATCCCAGCACTCAGGAGGCAGAGGCAGGCGGATCTCTGGGAGTTCGAGGCCAGCGGGAACAGAGTCAGTTCCAACACTGGCTCCAAAGCTCCAGAGAGTTTGGCTCCTCAAGCACACCAGGCCCGTTTCACTTGTGGTGACCACGTCTGTGCATTCATGTCACCTCAGCAGGGTTCTCCTGGGTGGCGCCCTCTTAGGGTGCACACCTTTATATGTTTGTCTTCCCTTCTTCTTTCCCCATGTGCAATGATCTCTTCTGAGAATGATGGCTACACCTTCTACAGTTCGGATAGGCACCTTCCCGATGGCCTCCCATGAGACTTGACCTAGAGGACCCTGTTGGTTCAGTTGATGGTTCGGTGGTACCCGGAAGCATGATAACCCAGAGAGAATCCACCGGGCTGAAGTGACAAGGCCATACAGCCATCAGTTTTACCTCACCAGGTGATGTATTAAGCCACCAGTCTTGGGTGGGCTGTTCATAGGGGCATGTTTAGGCTCTGTACTCTTGAACTGCTGCAGAGACGCTCCCTACCACTGGAGGACTGGTTCAATGTGCTGCTACTAATTGACCCTTGCTATAATTATGGCAACTTCCAGAGCAAACCAGCTGGCTTTTAAAATAGCTTTCTTTGTGTAGACATGATTTGCATGCAAACCCCTGAAAACTTTTAACATATATAGCTTGATACACTACTTGCGGATCTTATTGGTATCATCTATAGTAAGCCCATGTGGACTGTTGATTCCCTCTGTTAATTAGCCTGTATGATTTTAAGAGGAAAATGGTTTGTTTGTTTTTATAAGTCTGGGAGTTCGATTGTATTCTTGTTGGTCTTGATTACCATTAAAACAAATAAGTATGCGTATTTTTCATCTTATTCTCATTTAAAATCATTCTCAAATAAGGTTGACATATGGATATTTGGCATAGTCTTTGTGGTACCCTCAGGGCCTACCAGCAACATTTCTGTACTATACTAGCTGTGAGCACTCCTACCCTACATAGATAGATAAGCTTCTTTGGTCCATCTTTTCCACAGTGATATTCTACAGACTTTTTTCTAGAGATCGGGTGACCCTCTTTGCCCCTGATATTCTATTCCTTGTATAAAGCAATAGTGGAAAAGTCTTGTAACAAGCACTTCCCCTCTCTTTGCTCTACACGCATCTTGTTGAGCACTAGAATGAATCTGTACGAAGGCTCTCAGCCACTAGACTTCTCGCAACTGAGATCATGTGGGTTCAAGGATTTGGGACCATTTCCAAATACAAAAAGTGATGGTCAGTATTTGGAAAGTATTGATAATTGTAAAGCAAAGTCTTAGGGAGAAGGGATAGTCTGTTACGTTAGTCTCCACTTTGGTATAATGTTAAAAAATTCAGAATAAATAAATGTCATGAGCCCATTTGGTGAGTGAGCAAGATGTCTTTGCTGCTAAGATTCCACACTGAAGTCAGATTTTGCTCCAAGATTCATTAAGAGCCTTTTAGAGCCTTGTCTTTTGTTAGTCTTATTTGTTTTGTTTTGTTTTGTTTGGGGGGAGGAGGGTTCGAGACAGGGCTTCTCTGTAGCTTTGGAGCCTGTCCTGGAACTAGCTAGATTTATTTAAATCTAACTGTAAGTCACCCTTCTCCTCCCACTTTTGATACACCACAAAGGTCAGGAACACATTGTTACAAAAAGCAATTCAGTTTATGTAAAGCCATCTTACCCTTGCCCTGTTATTTTAGTGTACCGAATTGTGTTATGGGGTGTATACATGGTGACCTGTCTCTAATCTTAGGAACTAATTATCTGATTTTGATTTATTTTTCTCATATTAAGCATGTTATTGAACATCAAGAAAGGGGTTAAAGGAAATAGCTCTAATATCCCCAGTGAATAGAAAGCTCTAGTGATTTAACTTTGGGACATTGAGCCTTCCAGAATTCCCTTTTGACTCCTTTATTCAATAGCAAGACCAATGCTTTTATGATAACCACAGTCTCTCCCCTCCCTCTCTTCCCCCCATCCTCTTCCCCTCCTCTCCTGCCCCCCCCCCCCCCCCCGCTGCTGCTGCAGCTCTGCTGGTTTGGTTTAAGGCTGTGACAGATGTCTGATTGGCGGGCTCTGTTTATTCTGTGACCAGATTCTTTCTGAAAGAGGGCTGGCCATACCTGCCCGAAGCCTATTGGCTGTGTGTGCTCTGGGCCCTCCCCTCCCCCCCCCCCCCTTTCCTTCACAGCACACACCACCACTAAGTCTGTGCGGGGATCCTAAACCAGCCCAATTTACATCCATTCATGAATGTGTGACGTCAGCAAGCTTGAGCTCCTCTGCGGTGGGCTGGAGGATTGTGTGGGTCGATCTCCCTCCCCCTTATTTTTCTATTTCTGCAAGGCTCTGTAGATTAACCTTCCATCTTTTTAGAGCAAGAAAACGGAACGGCATGTGTAGGAATTCTTCATTGTTGTGAGTATTGCACTCTTTTCCTCTTTCAGCAGCGTGTATCGCACAAGGACAGATGGAGAATTTATCTGTGCTTTACGCTTATTAGAAAACTGTTATTACTGAGGAAGACACAAGGTGGGAGAGACAGGAAAAGGCCGAAGGAAACCCGAAACCCCCCAACCCCGGCGCGGCTCAGGGACTGACAGCTGGGTTTTCTTTGCTTGCTTGTCTGCCGGCTAGACGTGGACATTTTTTGATTACGGTTCTGCACGTTGCCTTTGGATGCTTGCTTGGTTCGTCTTAAAGGGAGAGTCAGTTCCTTCGAGAGGATGTGGATGTGTTGGGGGAGCCTCAGGGAGGACCAGGAAGGAGCTGCAGAAAGCGGGGCCAGCAAGCCGCAGCAGGCTCTCACTTGTCCTGCACTTGTCTCCTGTGCTGTCCTCCTACCATGTCTAACCCTTCAACCTTGCCTTTGTCTCATAACTGTGTAACAGTCAATATTTTGTGTTTGCAATATGGGAAGATAAATGCTTCTTCAACCATTTTCAAAAGCCTTTATGATGAGAGCGGTTGGTGTATATTCATACATATTTGTGGCTCTTTTAAAAATAGCATTTTAATATCTAAACATCTGCACAGAAGGCTGAACCAGCATTATCCTTAAATTGTAAGGATAATTATTTTTTTAAGATTGCTAATGGAATGATTTCTTCCTGTGTTCCGAAATTGTGTTGTATAGAAATGCGCCTGAATGTTTTTCTAGGACGAACTTCCAATTGGAAAGTTTGCTCTGCTATGTGTTGGAAATTGGAGGAAGTTCTGGTATCCTCCGTGTGTAGAGTTGGTTTGAGAATTTGTTTATAGTTTTAACAAGAAGTGTCCGTGGTTGTTTTCCAGTGCTTGGGTTTGTTCTGAGGAAAGCTGCGACACTGTCCTGTTCTGCCCAGGCTGGTCTCTGAGCCCCTATGATCTGGTCGTATTTCCCAGCTTTGAACAACTGGTCAACTACTCTGAAACATGGCTTTGGTGTTTCTTTGTGGAGAGAGAGAGAGAGACAGAGACAGACAGACAGACAGACAGACACACACACACACACACACACACACAGAGAGAGAGAGAGAGAGAGAGAGAGAGAGAGAGAGAGAGAGAGGCCCATTATTTCTTTTCACTCAACCGCGTCTTACTTTTCGTAGTCAGTGCCTGGTTTTGAGTTCTCCTAGAGCACAGTTCTAAACTGTGGCACTCATGGTAGCTTTAAGGCCATTCTTCCCTGGATTCTTTGGGGGGAGTTTTATTCTTAATCTTCTAAGTGAACATACTTTCAGTTTAAAATTATCATACCCAAAACTGAAATACTTAATGTTCTTTCTCAAATTAATATTGAATATCCTCATTTTGTTTTCTCTGTGTGTTTTAGTGTCCTGGAGTTGCAGGAGGGAGCCCTCCGCCTATTGCCCAGACAATTATAGTTTTGTGTTTTGCTGTTTTTATTTCCTGAGTTAAACCATTTAATACTATTTTAGATAAAATTTCCAATATTTTAAAATATCTCAATATATTACAACATTTTTCTTTTTTCTATCCTCTCAAGACTTTGTTGAGAGCATTTCCAAATATCTATTAAAGTGTTGAAGTCTACTAGAAGACCAAATCATTAACCTCTAAAAAATTATGTTTATGTATTCAAAGTTATTTTGGGAAATGTTCATTAGATTCTGTCTTTATGCTTACTTCATCAGGCCAGAGCTTTATTTCCATGAAAGAAATTTAGCTTGCACATGGATTTATTGAAGTAACATTGTCCTTCTAAGGCACAGGGTGGATAGAGAAACCCCCCGTCCCACTCCTAGTGGCTGCATTCTAGATTATGTTTATTTTCATGTATAACGTACTTGTGGGATAAAACAATAACTCTTAATTGTTTAATATCAAACAATAAAATACTGTGTATCAGTGATCATCAATAGATGTCTTTCTGTCTAAAAGTTGAAACTACTCCAGGAGTAGGGATGAATTTATTTAGTAAACAAAGTCAGTCAGAGCAGAGCTGGGTCCTGGGGAACTGGCATCAGCATGGCTCCTAAGGGCGAGAGGCCACATCCAAGGGCTGGCGTACACACCGCGGCTGTACTTGGATGCAGAACCCGGGAGCCTGGTTTGCACTGTCTACTTCCCTTCCTCTTTGTGCGCTGCTGACTGATCACACGTGGAGCTCACGTGAGCCAAGATAGGCAAGGTGAATGGACCGGCCAGGTGCTGTAGCCTGATACTTGGAGTTTTTGTTAAAATTAAAGAGCATTACCTAGGAACACTCCGCTGGTTGAAGAAAAACAAAGTCATTCCAAGGATATCACACACCTGCTATGTCAGTTATGATTCCAGAAAAAGAAATGGAGGAGTCAAAGTTTTAGAAGATGTGATTTTTATTCCCAAGAAATCTAGAAGGAAAATTAGTATACATCAACTTTAACATTAGAATTTACAACACAATTTTTCTCCTTCCCTTCCCTTTTCTTTTCCATCCTCCCTCTTTTTTTTTTTCACTATTGGGTGGTCTTAGTAGATTCACCATGACCACAGTCAATTTTAGAATATTTTCATTATCAAAAAAAGAAGAAGAAGGAGAAGGAGAAGAAAAGGAAGGAAGAACCTACACGCTCACTAGCAGTCATTCCTCCTCACCCCTCAGCGCTAGACAACCACCAATCAATCGCCCCTTTCATATTTATTTGCTTATTCTGGACATTTCTTCTTTAACTGTGTAAAAAATTTATTGGACTTGGTATATGGAAGTCCAATAGAATGGTCTTTTTTCTGGACATTTCTTATAGATAAATCATATAGTGTATGATCATTTCTAATTAGCTTTTCTCACTTTTTTCAAAGTTCATCCATTACATGGATCGGTACTTCATCTCTTTATATTGCCAAATAACATATAAGTTTACATAAACTATGTCATCTGTTTATGGACAGGGGCTATTTCTACTTTTACCTACTAGGAATTCTACTGCTTTTTATATTCATGTACAAGTTTTTGCCAATCCTTTAATTTTCTTGGGGTAGAAATGGTGGGTCGTATGACAACTGTGTGCTGAACAGCTGAGGACGCACTGAGCTGCTTTCTGTGTTGGCTGCCCCATTGCACAGTCCCATCAGCAACGCACAGTTCAGACCTCTCCACATCCGGGGAAGCGGCGACTGTTACCCGTCATGACACGAGTATCACCTTAGTGGGTGTGAAGTGCATCTCATCGTGCCTTTGTTGATGCCGCCCTGGTGGTGGTGGTGCTGAGCATCTTTTGATGAGTCTGGCCATGCGTGGATCTTCTCTAGAGAAAGGTCTGTTCAGACTCTTTGCATATACTAAAAAATAGTTATTTGTGTTTTTATTAATGATTTATGAAAGCCCTTTCTATACTTTGGACACAAGCTGCGCTGTGCTAAGTGAATGGCAAATATTTTCTCATAGGCTGTGGGCTGCCTTTTTCTTCGTGTTGAGTACCAAAACCTACGTCTTTATGAAGTTCAGTTTCTTTTGTGTTTTTAGTTTGTGTGTGTGCTTTGATGTTATAAAGGCTGTGTTCTCTAACAAATAAGGTCCATCCCTACGTTCCATTTGTACATTTTATAGTTTTACCTCAAAGATTAGTTAATTTCTCAATATGATATAAGAAAGGGATTCAGCATCACTTTTGAGTATCCAGTTGTTTCAGCACCCTGTTTAAAAGGATCCTCTTTACTCCGATAACTTGTCCTGGCATTCTATCAGAGAACTTTCAGAACAAAATGCTGCCACATGTGATGGCCTATACTGTAATCCTACTTGGGAGGTGGAGGCAGTAGATTAGGTGTTCAAGGCCATCCTTAACCACGGTGAGTTTGAGGTCAGCCTTGGCTGCCTGAGACCCTGGCTCATAAAACAACAACATAAAGTCCTGACATAATACTCCCATTCCTGGAGATTCGTATTTAGTTGGCCTGGAAATAGGTAATCGGTTTACTCATCTGTACTTTTGAAAGCGTCACTGATTGTAATATGTGGACAGGGTTGGAAAGCATTAGTGTGGGTAATTTTAGGGTTAGTTTTAGGAAATAAGAGAGGCACTATTCCTAAATAAGGACCCAGAATGAGCAAAAACAGAATTCTGACATGGAAAGGAAGAAAGAAAGCGATGAAGTCTATTCATACTAGAAAGCGTGGACTTTCTCACGAGTCCCCAAAGCCACGGCATTGTCACAGTGTAGCGTTAGCATTTGGGTAGCAGTTAGGATGCGCTTATAAACCTCTCCAAAGTTCTTATGTATACCATTTCATTTGAACATAACCCTGAGAATACAAAGTAAATACTATTCTTGTTTTGCAGCTGAGACTGCTGACTCAAGCAGAGATACCGGAGAATATATGTAGTACTCAATTTTCAAATCCGATTCTGATTCTTAATCTTTCTTTTGTGTACAGTGGATTTTGAGCATTGGGTGGTACTCACAAATTTTTGTTGATCTAAATCTAGCATGAGTTACAAATCTTATTTTACTCTGGGCCGGACAAAGAGCAAAATAAGTTTAATTGTAGAAATAAAGGGTTGGGGGTTGGCACAGCAGGCGCAGTGGAAGATAAGAGGGTGGGGTTAAAGAGGATTCTCACGGCATAGATAATCATGGAGCCCAGATGCTGGTACTTTGCCAAGATGCAGCTAGCAAGAAGAACTCTAAGAAGATCAAGGGCTAACATGCTGTACTCAAGAGGTGATTGAAGAGATGGGGGAGAAATCATGATGGAAAGGAGAAGGGGCCAAGGTAGCACTGGCAGGCAGAGAGGCGTTGTCGTTCAGTTTTATTTATTTAATCATTAAGTATTTACTGCGTAGCTAATATTTATTTTAGGTACTAATGTGTGGCAGAGAACAAAGGAGACAAAAAGACTCGCCTCTTGCTTATTTGGTTCCAATGGAAGAAGACAAGGAGTAAAGAAATAACCTATTTAGTGGTAATGTTTTAAGGAGAAAACTAAACATGGA